TCAAGCTTCTTGGAATATCGATCTGGATCCAGCAAGTAATTGCTGACAAATAGTCCACAATCAAATCTGTAATATAACAAATAATTATCATGGTCATGATGCGAACAAATAATTATCGAACTTAATTAGAACAGTGCACGATTGAACAACAACAAAGGGTACCCATTTGGTTGGCAAGCAACATCCTGGCGATATCTAACCACGAAGTCCACAAATGAAAACGCCCCACAGATATCATCCTTAAGCAACCAATCTAGACCCAATTTCTGCAAATGAAAACATCCACCTCATCGATATATAACGACAAAGTCGGCAAATGAAATACAACTAACAACTAAGCAATAAGTAAAGCTTGAAAAGTTGAAGAACAAGAAGCAAACCAGTTTCTGCATCTTTGCATCATATTCTTCATTATGAGTTCCTCGTAATGAGTCCCAGATTTCGATTTCTTTGGCTTCCATGTTAAAGACCGCCAGATAGAAGTGCTTCAACGTGAGGTTGAAAATTGGGACATGAATCTGAAATAATGGACAAACAAACAATAATTATCAATTTAACATAGGAGGGTGAAGCCATTTCCTTTTAGAAAACAACATTACAACATACCTTACTGCAGTAAAGTAGCTCACCAATACAGTATCGCTCATGTATCTTATATGAACGCATCTTAGCCATAAATTGCTCCTCGTTGCAATGACTCGCACGCTCCTAGAAAAATAAAACACAGTCACCCACACAAGCTACATGCTACAAAAAATAGATTAATTTCATGACAAGAATAGACAAAGCAGACAACTGTACCGAAACTTGAGGTGGAAAGAACCAAGACAAGCCACCAGTGCGACCACAACTCCGTTCTTCTAGTGTCTTGCACAGACACGCCATTTCTATAATCTAATGCATCATCATCACATATACCAAAGTCAGCAATACACGTTCAATCTACTAAATTACACACATAAATGAACTTACCCTTGTTGAAATTTTGGTCCTTGGCAAAAGCTCGACAAAATCTTCACGTGACAAGGAAAGAACCCCGCCACCAACACTAACCAATGTGTCACTGTTATACAATACCAAGTTCAAACAACACAACATTAGAATAAGCAAATACCAAAAACATCCTACAAATATGATCCAATTTTACTTGTAATGATTTCGGGAGGTACCTTTCGGGAAGCTCACTACTAAAAGCAAATTGAAGCATCTTTACTGCCTCCAGAGACAATGGTGTCTCAACAACAAAGGGAGGAGCACGGTACAAAGGTTGTGCTTTCTTAGCTCTGGGATTTGCCCGTTCGAATGGAGAGAGCACATACAAACTAGGCTTCAATTTAGACACACTACGTAGTGCACCTCCCTTTCGCCCCTTTCTTGTTCAAAAACATAAAAAAACAAAACCAGTTCATTAGTAACCACACCATAAGAACCAATAATTAGAAAAATTAATCAAGTGAAATACCTTCACAGCCTTGGAACAACCATCATTAGCAGCAACACTTTCATCACTCAACAATATGAATTTCTCAACTTGCGACGCTTTAGGCTGCTTGCAAGGAGACTTTTTCACAACTTTCACAGAAGGAGATTCAGAACATCTCTCATCTCCAATTTCCCCCTCAGCTTCTCCCGAATTCTCAACTTTGGCAGTCTTGACAAATTCCAAGGTAGGAGAAATGGGTTCCCTAGGTTTTTCAACCTCACCCTTCTGATCGTTCTTTTTCAACTCAGCTGTAGGAGAAATGGGTTCCCTAGGCTGCTCCCTTGACAACGGATCACCTACAGTTGCTTTCACTGCCTCTATAAGGGACTTCACTGCAGTACCGATTTCGTCTCTAAAAGCCCGAAATTCGTTCTCCATTTTCACAACCCGGCTCATTAGCTCATTATCTCTAGAAGCAGCATCACCCATTGCCACTCTAAATTCTTGACCAAAGTTGTCAATTCTACCCTCCATGGTACTAAACCGAGCATCAATACGCTCATAGAGAAGTAGCTCATCCCCGTCGGGTTTGTGCCGTTTCCCATCTACTTCTCCCCGTTTCCTTGGAGGTGATTTCAAACCGGCATCCTCAGCTGATCTTTTCCCCGAACTGCTGGAAACCTATAAATTAATTAAAAAGGGAACCAAATGTACCATTAGCATGCTCCAACTTGTCAAAAGAATCAAATATACTATCAATCTTACCACTTTTGTTAACAATAACTCCACGTCTCCGCTCCCCCAACTCATCAAATCCAAACTCCCATCAACGGTTTGGAAAATACCATTTGCATGCTCCAAGAATATTAACTACAAAAAAAAAAATACTATAATCAACATGATGATTAATCATTACAAATATGTAGAAAGTCGGGATTAACAATTATTTACCTCCAAAAACAGCAAGCAACCCGGTATATACTCTCTTTTAGAAGCATTATGGTCGCAGATGCATTTGACCAATTCATTGAAGCAAAAGGATGCCCAATTCTTCTTCGGAATGTCTGCAACATCGGTGACAGCGTATACCGAAGACAAGGAAATGTCCTCTCTTCTAGTTGGTACTAATAGCACCCCCATTACGTACAAAATAAACATTTGAAGAAATAGATCGTCGCTATCTTTCATCTTCGACAACTCCTTCTTCATTAAGCTTGTGGAAATCGCCTGTCGGCCACATTCACGTGTCGAAAACACTCTAAATGGTTCCAGTTCCTCTGATCTTCCCTCCACTTCTTCACCATTCAAGATGATATCAGTACCTCCCTCAGGCACACCCATAATTCGCTCGAAATCTTTGGCCGAAATATGCACTTCCAACCCATACGCCTTAATTGTGCTTTCTTCCAGATTAAAGCTCTTCACAAGTTTCTCCAACAACTCACGTTGTAGCTTTCTTGCTTTGACATCAAGAATACGACCAAAGCCACATCTCCTAATGGCCTCTGATTGACAAGCCTCTAAATTTGAGACTACTGAGAATACTTTCCTAGGAGAACATCGCGTGCTGAAAATTTGATGCCTCTTCGTCTTCATTATAGAACAATTTTAGCAAACTGCAAAATTAAAACAACAGAAAATTATAAGCATGCCTTGAAACACGAATTATAAGCATGCCGAAGAGTACAAACAAAATACAAGTTCTAACTACCTGAGTACACTAATTAACCATGAAATCCGCCATTGGCATATATAAATTTCACCCAAAACACACAGCTTTCATTAAATTTCACCCAAAATACAAAATCTCACGGCCGTGACATGACCCGTGAGAAGCAAAGAGAAGTTTTCATATCTCCAGACAATCTCACGGCTTTGGCTTCATAAATCACGACCGTTAAAATAAGCCGTGAAACTAAAAACACCCATTAAATATTCTCACGGCTAATTCTTGAAATTTCACACCCGTGAGAAGTCCAGCAATTCAATTACACAAACACGGCTCATCTCACGGCCGTGATACTCTCGAACCCAACCCGTGAAAACCCCTGGAACTCCCCCTTTTTTAAAAAAAATCTAACGGTACATCTCCCGGCCGTGATATTTTCATATGTGAGGCGTGTTTTTGAGTTTCAGCTGTGACCATATCACGGGTTAATCTCACGCCCGTGATATTTACAGATGAGCCGTGAGAAGTGCATATTTACAGATGAATCTCTAATCAGAAAAATAATACTGGAATGCATGAAAGAATGAACTAATGATTAAGCATGAGGAGATGAAGTCCAAGGTTTACTTGATGAATCACGACATAACCTATCAATTGCATCACAATCTTGCTCTAATAGTAAACTGAGGTACTAATCACATAAACGTAGACGGAGCTAGCATTCAAACGAAATAAAAAGCTCAAATGAATGCAAAGAATCACATAAGACTAATGCAAAGCTCATGCAAAGAATCACAGAAGACAAATGCTTCGATTACCCTTTTCTACAATACATCCACACAACAAGCATACTACAAATAGTTGCTAGCTTAACCACAATGGGAACATGATTAGGACTCCTCTCCCAGCGCTCACAAAGACAAGATGAATTGCATGCTTGGAATGACGATTATGTAACTCAACAAGGCAATAGCTCTCTCGACACATGCAACTCACACCGGTTTTCCAAGTGAAATGGAGTTTCCATTTATGAAAAAGTAAACAAAAAAAGTTTCCAAAACTAATTTATGATATCATTTTCATGAGATAGCATTTAGCTATGGTGGAAAACCACATAAAGAACACATGATCTTTGCTTGGTTCATGCATGCTATTTCCTAGGCTCTTTCACCAAGTGTGAGTTTTCTTGGTGACAAGCATTTTCCTCTTTGGTACATGATTAAATTGTTCACTACCCAACAAGGCAACCACAACCATGCACAACTCTCCCTTCAAGCTTCAATGTGTAAATCGACTCACAATGAACTTTATTAGCAGGAAATCTATGGTTGTATGGTTAATGGAGGAGCAACCAACAACCACATTACAACACGTTGCTTTGACAAAGACCTCTCTCCATCTATAGCCCTATCAGCAAATTTAGCTACCATAATGCTAAACCATCAGCTACCAGATATCTCATATCAGCTGTTGAGTAAAAACAAATGAAACAGATCTTAATGTTTCACTTTGAACCACTCAGCCATCTATCCTACACAGGGCTAGCATCACAGAAACTGAGTGACAATAGAGTAAATTCATAACAACTTGTTGGTGGCTGATTGAACAATCAACACAATTCCAACACATCCAATCAATCATAATGAGAAAACATAATGATCGATATCCCTGAGTGATTCATATAAAAACATGAGATAATTATCAAGCTAAACACAAAGAAGATACTACAAGGACATCAACCTGGTAAAAGGACATGACCAATTAAACTCATAAACCTAAATCTGAGCATATTGATAAGCAATATATTATTTTCTCCATCATCGGCTACATGCATAGACTCATTCGCATGATCAATGACAACAGCAAGAAAGTCAAGTTCATATCAACTCGTTTGACAGTAGCAGCAGCCTCTTGCTCTGTCTTGCCTTTCATTAATAGCCACTTAAGTTTGGCCAAATACCCACTCCTATCTCATCGTCTTCAGTATGCTATACAACTTAATCCAGATGACTAAACTGATTCTTCGCCTACAGCAGACAACTAAACTGATTCTTCTTCAGCTCGTCAAGTTCCTAAACAACCAATCCATAGTTCAATCTGGTAAAACGAGCATGGAATTTCAATCCCCCTACCGAAATTTGTAAATCTAGAACATCCCAATATAATCCCTAAACTGATAGCCATACTAACCGGAAAATTGAATAAAATTGTAGAACTGTAGGCATACTAACCGGAAAAAGTTGCGGTGGAGGAGGTAGGTCTTCGTTTGCTATCGATGGGAAGAGGGGGTTCTGTGCAGGGTCTTCGTTTGCTATCGATGGGAAGAGGGGGTTCTGTGCAGGGTCTTCGTTTGCTATCAATGGAAGAGGGTCTTCGTTTGCAATCGACGAAGAGATGCTCGCTCTCGTCGTCCCCCTGCTCGCCGCCTTCACTGTCGTCGTCGGAATCCGGCTCGCCGCAGTCAAAGAGATGCTGCAATCGACAAGCTTCTTCTACTCGTCGTCACCCACTGCTCGCCGCCTTCACTGTCGTCGTCGGAATCCGGCTCGCTAGCTGCGTGGAGAGGATCGAAGGAAGAGGATCGAAGGAAGAGTAAACAGCCGTGGGTGCGATGGTCGAAGATGGTGTGATAAGAGGTGAGAAGCTCTGAATTCCGATCGAAGGTGGCCTTTACCCCGACTGGATTTCAATTTTTTTTAAATTATTGTGTAACGAACCGGTGCAACAGGTTACCAGTCCAACAAATGAAAATAATAATAATTAAATAACTTCAATCCAATGGCTGATATTTTATAACAAGATCTAATGGCTGTAAGTATATTAAAGCATGGGTACTATATAGCATACTAAAATTGCCTCATTGATCAGTTCCCAAAACATGCACTAAAGTATCTGTACAGGAAGCAAGGTACCTGGTAAATGCAAATCTGTGCCAGCCACCTGTGATTACTAATAAGCTACTCTTGTGTGAAGATTAGAAAGAAAAAATATGATATGGGTCTAAACCTCCTGTTCTTGAAAATACAAGTCGTTGACAGTTTGACAATTGACACTCATATCCAACCACAGGACTCTAATAACCAAATCTAAAAAGCCTTTATTCAGTACTAATCTTTTTTATTTGGGTTAATACCTTGTTATGGCCTGAACTATGACCATGTAATCAACTTTGGCCAGTGGTTTGAGAAATTAACATCCTGGCCCGATCTATGCAGCATATTGACAAAATTGGCATGGAGCGTGGTTTGACCGTTTGTTTGGACGGTCAACACCGTTGACCGTTAGTCAACTGTCCAGGTCACTGCCATGTCAACATAAAAAAATTACAATTTCATTTTTCTTTTTATTTCATTTACAAAAATTGAATAATTAAAAAAAAAACAAAATTCAAAAATTTTGCCCCACCCATCCCCACCTTATCCCCTCACCTTCTTTCCTTTTCGATTAAACCCAACCCTATTTCATCTTCTTCGTCCTTCTTCCCCGACGAGCCGCCGCCTCCATTCCCTCCGACGAAAACAAATCCCTTCTTCCCCAACACAGAGCGACTCATCGGCGATGGAGGTTTCTGTGTAGCAGGTACTGCTAGTTGTTGTGTAGATTCCAGAAAGGGGAAAAAGGAAAAACAAAAACTGGGGTGAAGAGAGAGATCCTGAAAGTGGATTCATCTTATTAGTTTGTTACAGACTTGCAGCTTAGCTAGCATATATGGTCCCCTCGCCTCCCCTCCCACTTTGCTTTTTCTTGTAGATAAAATGGAAAGAAGAAATAATTCAGAGCAAAAGAAGAGATCTTCTTCTTCTTGTTTGTACTGGCTGGCAGGCTTGGGATTGCAGTTGCAGCCTGCAGGACTAGCGGCAGCGGCTGCGTGATGATTCCAACGATCGTGGCGAGGAAAATTGTGAGGAGCTGCCACGCCTGCTTGGTCACTCCTTTCCGGTACGGGGACGAACCAGAGAATGACTCCTGTAGCGATCGAGGCCAGCAGCGGCTTCATCGCCGCCCCTTGCCATGGCTGCACCGGGGCTGGCGCGGGCACCGCCGCGGGAACGGGAACTGGAGTTTCGGAGGAGGATGCCCGGATTCTGAAGGTGCGGAGGGAGGCATTAGATTTGAGGAGGCAGGGAGTGGCGAGGGGCGAGAAGGAGAATCTTCCTCCGGCGGCGACGGAGGCGGAGGAGGAGAGGGAGGGGAGACGGGACGAGAGGCGGGCGGCGGGATTTGAGAGAAGGGAGGGAATTGAAGGCGAGGGAGCAGGAGGAGGAAGTGGTCAAAGCGAGAGACGCCATCTGGCGGTGGCCGCAACGGCGGCGCGGCGGCGGAGGTTCAGAGGGGATGAGTCGCTCTGTGTTGGGGAAGAAGGGATTTGTTAAGAAGGAGGAAGAAGATGGAATAGGGTTGGGTTTAATCGAAAAGGAAAGAAGGTGAGGGGATAAGGTGGGGATGGGTGGGCCAAAATTTTTGGATTTTGTTTTTTTTTTTAATTATTCAATTTTTGTAAATGAAATAAAAAGAAAAATGAAATTGTAATTTTTTTATGTTGACATGGCAGTGACCTGGACAGTTGACTAACGGTCAACGGTGTTGACCGTCCAAACAAACGGTCAAACCACGCTCCAGGCAATTTTGTCAATATGCTGCATAGATCGGGCCAGGATGTTAATTTCTCAAACCACTGGCCAAAGTTGATTACATGGTCATAGTTCAGGCCATAACAAGGTATTAACCCTTTTTATTTATGGGAATTCGTTTGGTCATTTCATTTTCCTTCTCTGTCTTCTTACAAGTTACAAATGTGACCGATGATAAGACCATCTTCATCCCTGCAATAGAATAGCAATTTTATAAGTGGACCCTACAGCAACATTAGCAACTTTAGCAATTATTCACTTCAACCATTTCAAATCATCTACATCTCTGCAATAGGTTAGCAATTGCAATTGATGGGACCTACTACATATTCTTTTCTTTAACAATTCTTTTCTTTAATTATTTTCTAATCCTATGTATGATTTTCATTAAGTTCTTGAATAATTTTGTGTGGGTTTGTATTTTGCATAAATTTGTTTGCTTTCTTGATGTAATATGAATGGTGAGTACTTTTAGTGTGATTTCTTTCTAGTTTTGTGCATGATCTTCATCATTAACTATACATCTTTATAATAAGTTTTCATGTTCAATATAATTAAATATAATTTATGATTTATAATTTATTAACAACTTAAAACAAATCATAAGCACAAAAATATTAAGTTTAACAATTTGTGTGTTCAAAGTGGGTAGAAAAGAAAGAAAGAAAAAAAAAAGATTTTGAGTGCATAATGTGTGGGTCCAATTATCTATGTCGCATTGCAAGAAGGATTGCTTATTTAACAATCTTGCTAAATAAGAAATAAGTCCCACATTCTTGCAATTGCTTAAAGACATTGCCACATGGGATCCCACCCAATAAGCAATTGCAACAAGCAATTGGATAGAGATGGTCTAAGGGACTATTGTCCACTCCACATTTTCCCCCAAGTCATAAATATCACCTCCTTTAATGGTAACACTTCCACAGTTGCTTTGAGACAGATTTACCTATATTAGCAGAGGGGTTAAAGACACATTTGGTCACTGAGATTACAAAATCGGGACATGTTTAGTCACTAGAAAAAGTTAATATCAAATTTGGTCATTACAATTACTAAAACTGGACGCATTTAGTCACTCCCCGTTAGTCTCCGTCCAACTCCGTTAATGAAGTCCGTTAAGTGCTGATGTGGCAAACAGAATTGCCTAATCAGCCGGATATAACCCAACAAAATAAAACCCGACCCGCCACGTCATTATAACCCGCCACCTCATTAAAACCAACCCAACCCAACTCATGACCCAACCCTACCCAACCCTTCTTCCTCCTTCCTCCCCAACCCAATTTAGGGTTTTCCCCATCCCATCCAAATTCGCTGAGCGGGGAGAAGATCTCTCCGCCATTAATCTTTTCCTCGTATGTCCATTACTTTTGCAAAAATTGTCTATGTTATAGTTTCTTTGATATTGATGTATTCTTAAAATGAAGATGTCAAGTTGCAGTTCTGGTAAACCTAACAAATGAGTTTACAGCTTTGTTCTTCGATATCAACTCTTAACAAACAAGCATTCGAAATTTCAAATACCTAATATGGAATTCGAAGGAAAATCACCTTACAATCCAAACAGAACCTAATTAGTAGAACAATAGAGATCTAGGTAAGGATCAGCTATCTACCGGCGATTCTCAAGCGGAAGCACCGCTCGCTGATTTGGCAAAGAAACCGTCGGTCCGGCGAGTTCCAGTCGGTGGCTGCTTGTTAGCAACTTCGCGCTTACGACCTACAGAATCCTCTTTCTGCAACTGAGGAGCTGGCGGCGCGGGAAGCGAGTCTAAGAGGAAATCGTTGGTCGGTCGGTGCCTCTTGACGGAGATTCGGATGTGTTCAGTCTTCACAATCTTCCGCTTCTTCTCCGTGGCGACTTCGGCTCAGCGTGAAACTGAAGGAAAAGCTCCGTGGAGCGCGAGACGAGGAAAAGAGCCTCCGATGTCACCTTGTTGACTTCCTTGTCGAGCCTCATTATCTCCCTTGGACTAAAAGACAGAGCTTCAAGAAGATGAAGGAAGGGCGGCAGATTAATGGCGGAGAGATCTTCTCATGGGATGGGGAAAACCCTAAATTGGGTTGGGGAGGAAGGAGGAAGAAGAGTTGGGTAGGGTTGGATCATGAGTTGGGTTGGGTTGGTTTTAATGAGGTGGCGGGTTATAATGACGTGGCGGGTCGGGTTTTATTTTTGTTGGGTTATATCCGGCTGATTAGGCAATTCTGTTTGCCACATCAGCACTTAACGGACTTCATTAACGGAGTTGGACGGAGACTAACGGCGAGTGACTAAATGCGTCCAGTTTTAGTAATTGTAGTGACCCAAATTTGATATTAACTTTTTCTAGTGACTAAACATGTCCCGATTTTGTAATCTCAGTGACCAAATGTGTCTTTAACCATTAGCAGAGCTACCCAATGCCTTTCTTCTTCTATCTCTCTGGTACTCAAAACACAAAATAGTGGCCATGGCTGAGAAGTAGCTCGATCTTGAAACAACTGCCGCCCTTTTGCTTAGCCAAAAGCCCAAAACCCATTTCTTATCCTCGTACAGCTCTACCGTTGGAGATTCCACCAGAGGTATACCTCTACTGCTGGAGATCCCACCCAAGTTAGAGCTGTACCAGGATAGAAATGGGTTTTTGGTTGAGATGTTAGATGGCAATGTGCTGGTTTGGACATGATATACAGCTGCTTGATATGGCAAAAGGAAGGAGCTTGACATTGATGTAGTTATT